TATTATGATTATTTATATTTTCTCTTTCCTTATATATTTATTATGGCTTGTGTTTTACTTATCGATTTTTCCTGTTTTATTTATTATTGTTTGTTTTATTTATCATTCGCGGACTTCTATATTCTTTTTACATATTATCCTTCTTCCCCTTTATCACTTTCTGGTTTACTTAAGGTTTTATTAAATTTTCCTTGTTCATTTTCCTACTTCGTTTCTTGTTCTTTTATCCTCCTGACGTATAGGAAGGAACACCCCTAAAGTGTGTGTGTGTGTATGTGTGTGTGTGTGTGTGTGTGTGTGTGTGTGTCTGTGTGTGTGTGTGTGTGTGTGGACGTTACTTAGTTTGCCAGAGTCCTCCCCGGGGTCCCATTTTCCCTGTTATAATATATGAGGAACTAAATATCGGCTTGAGGTAAGTGTGTCCGTGTATATTCCATTTTTCCGCCAAGTCTCCTTAGATTGTCGCGTGTATCTTCCCGATCCTCTCTCAACCTTTCACTTTTGTCTCCTTTTACTCATACAAATATTCTCATACCTAAAATCCTCTCAATTTCTTCATTATTTACCATGCGGGTGTTTTCTGATTTCCTTCTTTTTTGCTTTTTTTTCATATAAATATTCCTTATTTTTTTTCTCTGAGTCTGGAGATAACTTTATATACTCCAGTATTTTGTTCATAAAAATGTTCAATAACTTATTAAGTGTTCAAAAGACAACAAAATAAAGGAATTGGTCTCATAATCCCGTCATTTCTACACGTAATATAAAATCCAACCCAAGACAGCCTCACCAGATAGTTTTATCCATTAGAAAAAATCCCAGAAGATCAAGATTCTTTTGGTTTATATTTTTGGATTAAGGTGTTTGAAGAAAAGATATCAGTTAAGTACACATACACTGTATGTCTGTCTATCCTTACATGGACGTAGATAATAAACTTTACATGTGATCAGAGATAGAACAAATTAGTAATACTGTAAAGATATAATCTCTCCTTTACTGCACCTTCCCCCATACAGAGCGAGCCTTGTACCTCACGTTGATTGCCGAAGTTAGCCTCATATCTGCCTCAAACGGGACCCCAGGAATAGTGCCTCCCATGACCTCCTGCTCTGGAATCACAATCAGCAAGGTCGTAATTCCCGATTCCCCAATTCCCGGCGGCTACAATTCTGGCGAGGCACAATACCCGACGGCACAGTTCTTAATGGCAGTATTCCCTGAGGCATAGTTGTGTGTGAGTGTGTGTCGGGGAGGGGGAGGGGAAGGGGAGAAACGCACCCCTCCAGCCACACACTCCACCAAAAGTTGGGAATTCATGAGCGGAGGATAGCCAGCTCGTTATTGAAATTCTTGTCTTCTCTCTCACTCATACGTATATCATCTCTCTTTTAACTTTTCCCCCTCCCTTCCTCTACATACCGCCATTTCATCCCTCATGTGCATTCTTCTCTCTATTCAGCCCCTCGAAAATACCTGCAAGCATTCTGGATTTCAGGGATTTTTCATAACTTGATGCTTTCAGGGAAATTTCTCTGAATTATGCCCAAAGGGAGAATATTTATTTGGGGAGAAATACACATAAAAACTGTTACATTCATGAAATATATCCCTGTTACACGTATGAATATTTTTCCAAGTATTCGCTATATATTTCATTGAAGTCACAGGAATGATTATGCAAATTTTAAGTCTTATTTATGGTCAATGTTTTTTTTATCACTCAGGAGAATTGAATAACCTGGGAAAAATTACCTGTTGAGGGTTAAAAATTTCCCTAAACGCTATTAAAAACATTCCCCATTCACATCAGAGACATTTTCCCACCACGTCATAGGTATTTCCCTACCACGACCCACTACACTACACTACACTACACTAGTCTACAATACACTTATTCTCGACGAAATCACAAATATTCCCCATAACCACAACATATATTCAGTCACCACAAGAAAATCTTCTCATCATATCCACAAAGATCCCCACATCAAACAAAAATTCCCCACCTCAAATAAATATTCCCCACCTCACCACCACCTCCCTCGCCACCACCAATGGCCGCGCTGGGTGAGTCGCAGGAGCATAAATTCATTTCACGATTTATTGTTGCTACCGGAATACCTTATGGCGGGATATTTCACCCAGATGGTTTATTGGCCCAAGGAAACAAATACCCGAAACAAATACTTGAATAATTTTCTCCTGAATCGTTTGGTCTGGGAAGGAAATATTCTCAGGGAATATTTTCCTCTTGATTTCCTCAGTTTCTAGGGAATATTCTTAGTTTGACTTCATCAGTTTCATAACGATATCATTACCTGTCTGTCTGTCTATCTGTCTGCCTATCTGTCTGTCTGTCTGTCTGCCCAGCATCTTTTTCCTCATTTATCTCAGATGGAAGAGAAGGTACAGTAAACACATCGGAGGGAAGTGAGAAAGACTGGAGTAAAACAAGTATAGTTAGAGAGAGGAAAGAGTAAAGACAAAACAGTAAGAATATCCTAACATATTTATCGGTTTGATTTGCTTCAAAATTTTATCGGTTCCATATCAGGTGGTTTTCAGTTCTAATAGGCCCCGGTTTTAAAACAACAGTACCTAACCATTCAGACTAGGGCCCATTAGGATAGTCCCAATCTTAATGTTTTGGACTGGGACCCACTACTTTTAATCACCATTTTCCTCTACTCAAAGACCATTAAGGACTAAAATTATAACAAATTATTATAATGGAAATCCTAATTCACTTGTGTAGAAAAGAATGAAGCCTCGAGAATATTTCCAGCGATTCTCCGTATAATCATTAGCAATTTATGAGCCGAACTTTGATACCGTAGTTTTTATCAATAATAGTTTCTTGGGATATTAGTGTTTTTAAGGTTATATTAACACTTCGCTTTATCCCCAATAGAGATCGTGAAAAAATTATAAAAAGAACTTGAAGAGGAAGAAGAGGAAAGAGAAGAAGAATGAGAAGAATAGAGGTTCGGTTGAGATACCAGTCACACAAATTCTTATAAAAGCCTAAGTCACTACAATACGAACCAATTTAGTGAAGATGGTGATTTTTTTTTTACAAATGTAAAAGAAGTGAAAAGGAAAGAAATTACAGTAAGTATAAACTTGCTAGTGAAAGGAATCAGTTTTTGGTCTCTAATACAAAGTCAAAACCCAAGGATTTCGCACACACACACACACACACACACACACACACACACACACACACACACACACACACACACACGGCTGACCTCTGACCCCCGTGATCCAAGTGAACTCCACAACGTCACCAATGGAATTTAAACAGAATTCCCGTCACTTATATGTAGTCGCGAGAAGGTGTTTGTACGTATATTAATGTGCAAACTCCCCTGATATACGGTTATTGTGGCTGTAGAGTGGAGCAATATATACCTGGAGTCAGATATACCAGGAGACAGTTATACACACTCCTCCATGAACGTGGTATGTATGCCGTGTGTGATCTAGACTATGAGAGGCATTAATGGGTCGTCTCGATGTCGGCGCTTCTGTAGGTGATGTTCAAGACTAGTGTGCTCGTGACGTGATATAATGTCCTTTTACTGTAATATCTTTTAGAATTACTGATTTCTTCGGTAATATTCGTAAAATGAAATACTCTTCTCTGTGTATAGACCAAGATAAAAGAAGTGAAATATTTACACAGAAATATAATACCAGCAGAGTATTGCACGTTCAAGGAGGCCAATAGATATCGCTACCAATAAAGCCAAGACCTGGAGTTGATATTGCCTCTTGACCCCCCTACCCTCTCTCTCTCTCTCTCTCTCTCTCTCTCTCTCTCTCTCTCTCTCTCTCTCTCTCTCTCTCGCTGCCTCATCCTCAAGACCAGGAGGGTGATGATGCTTCAACGTTTATGATCCTACGACAGATATAATGGAGTTTGCATAGTTTGTCAGATACAGGCGTCTATAGGCTATCCAGTGGTCAGCTACCGTGTGTCTGCATCATGAATGGACTCATGTGTACAAGGTCTGAATGAACTAGAAACCGAATGTAATTATGAATTCGGATTTTTTCAGATTTATATTAGATGAAATACTCTCCAGATTTGAAAATAAAGTTAGAACGATTAACACTTCTTCTTTCATTTAGAATATAAATGATAGAATATAAACTTATGTTAATGAAGTGTACAAGGGGAAAATTCATATGTTTGGTTCATTTATCTCTTTTCTTCACTCAGAGGCTTGGGAGAGACAGAGAGCAATTATATTTAGTTCCTTTAAATTGAATACTACTTATGCAATTATTAGATAGAGCATTATAATTTACTGAGATTTACCAATAACCTGACTGTCAATATGTATATTTCATCAACAAGATACTTAATGATGAAGTTATAAACCTTAATCTATAAAGGTTTAAATGACTTGTCACTTATTACTAAAACTCCATCCTATTAATAAGAATTTTGAGTGGAATTTAATTCACTCAATATTTTACTTAGAGAATGAAAAAATATTAATATGAAGTCGCCAAAATAGGAAAAATAATAGGATATAGTGTGGAACACGCACACACACACACACACACACACACACACACACACACACACACACACACACACACACACACACACACACACACACACACACACACACACACACACACACACACACACACACACACACACACACACATACACACACACACACACACACACACACACACACACACACACACACACACACACACACACACACACACACACACACACACACACACACACACACACACACACACACACACACACACACACACACACACACACACACACACACACACACACACACACACACACATACACACACACACACACACACACACACACACACACACACACACATACACACACACACACACACACACACAACACACACACACACACACACACACACACACGTATAACTTTGGCGAACATATTATCATTCTCTCATATTTATCTCCCTCAGTGCCGACGGAAACTACGAGGTGACTATCATGACGAAGGCTGTGTTACACTACGACGGCAGAGTCACCTGGAAGCCCCCAGCCATATACAAATCCTCCTGTGAGATCGACGTCGAGTTCTTTCCTTTCGACCAGCAGACGTGTTTCATGAAGTTTGGCTCCTGGACTTACGATGGCTACATGGTAAGTCACTCATGGGGGAAGGGTAAGATTCTGGGGGAAAAGAAAGGTTATCCATTGGGGTTTCTCTGGGGGAAAGAGGGGAGCGAGTGTCAAGGGATCTCTCTCTCTCATCACCAACAACCAAAAAATTCGTCTTTAAACAATCCAATCCCACATTCCCCCAAACGACAAAGTGAAAACATCCCTTCGAAACATATCAACAAACTTATAAAACAAAAGACAAATATTTCCTTCACCAAAACATCCTACCAAAAATCTTCACGTGTCCCCAGAAGAATCAAGCATAATTCCCCTTAAGTCTTCCCGACAGGCAATCTGTACATCGGAATTGTTTCTTATGTGTGGGAAGGAGAAAAACGGTGAGAACTTGGGGGTTAAGACGACCCAAGTTGGAGGTGGGTGTTGACAGTAGTGTTAAGTCCTGGCTGCCACCTGCCACAACACTGACAATGTTGGAGAAGTAACAAGAACAGGTAGTCTGAGCCAAATTTTTATTTCCTGATAACACGAGACACTATTCTAATCTATCCTGTTTCACCCAACCTCTTCTAACCTAGTATAATCCAACCCAACCTAATTCAATCCTAACCTAACCTAACTTAACCGAACTTAAACGAGCCTAAAAGTAAACAAACCAACCTAATTTAACTCAACTCAAAAAAATCTATCCTAACCTAGCCTAATCTAATGACCCTTACACTAGTTTCGGTTACGTTAGGTTTAGTTGGGCTGGTTCATGTTATCTGAAAAAGAAACATGATTTCAATTGTCCCGTTCGTTGTTATTTTTGGAACATTAATTCTTGCACATTATAATGATAGAAAACGAATAAGGTTTTCTGGGTAAACTCTTCCATTACTGAACAAAATAAGGTGGAAGACGCTATTGTTACTCTCGTCCTGTATATATTTCAGCAATCGCGTTGATATTAGTAGCAGACGTGATTGAACTAGCATCAGCAGAGATAGTAGTAGCAGCAGTAGCAAAATTATTTGCATAATAGTACTAGCAGCAGCAGTAATATAGGTAGTTATATAGCAGTAGCAGGAAGGTACGGGACCCAGGTATGGTTGGTGACGGCCTCCCTCCACGTCCGCCTCCAGCAAGATCACATTGCCCTGATAACACAGCTAATTTCCGTTTGTGTTTCCGGCAGCGCGTTTTACCGAATACCGGGGTCATGTTCTACCACCGTCGGCACCTGTGACCATCTTTGTCTCTCTCAGTCCAGATGCCGTTTCTTTTCTCCTATCTTTCACAATCGTATTTATTTCTAATGTTTTTTTCTATCACGGTCTCTCGAATACACGTCTTTAATATAAGCAATTGCCCTGAAGCTTCACCTCGAAGGCTGTTATCGTGTGTCATGATGCAAAGAGATATATTTTGGCCGCGAGCCTACGGGCATGTCATATTCTGAAAGCTATTTAGAAAGGTCATTTATAGTGTGCCCGCCCTATCAGGTAACTTATTCACACAATAAACTATAAAGTTAGGCAATTTATAACTGACATATAATAAAGAAGATGGTAAACATACAAGACATTTAGGAAAATTTATGGCTCCCGGTATCAATTGATCGTTGTGTTTCCGTCTAAGTATCCTGGTATTTAGTTGCTGTACCCATTACCAGATGGGCGCCACCAGGGCACTTGGCAAAAGATTCAAAACAGGCAACTGATTGGAAAGAAAGACAAATGAAGTTTAACTTTTGCTGAGTCCTGACACTCGAGGAATGGGCAATTGTCTCAGCTCACCGCGTACCACTGATACAACCTCAGTATACCGCTCGTCGAGAACAACTGCTGTATACTTGAGAAACAAAGAAACAGGGAAAGTGAGACCAAGATATTTTCTCCACGAGTCTACGTCATACACTTATACATGGAACACATTGCACCAAACGCCCAGTTGGTTATAACGTTCTCCAGTATAAATAATAAACCCCGGACAATATATATTGGATGCGTAAGTGTCTTGAAAAAAGGCCATGGTGGGGAGGATCTCTGCTGCAGGAACAGAAGGTGGAGAGTCCCGCGGTGCAGGAGGCCGCTCTCAGCTCTAGGGTAGCAAGGCTCTGGGCCCTGGCTGGTACCCGGCGGTGTTGACGGCTTGCGGGATGGTGATAAGAACAAATTTACACCAGTGGCAAGGCAAGATAATTATTTTTTTCTCTTCATGTAAGACTTATTTTCCACTGGAAAATTTGTTTAACCGGAAGAATTATATATGGGTGTTTGTTGAACATTCACATAAACGTTTTATTTTGGCGAGTTAAGGCTCTAGGAAACTTTTGTTTAGGTCATTAACCTTTTGGTATACGACGCTGACATTCTTAATAACTTAATTGCTCCCCAGTTCTTATTACGCACGTTAGTATGCCCGCCTCTCCTCTAACCATACTGATGGATGTGTTTCGAGCATGAGGGATTTCATATTACAAATGGAATGTAAGACAACCAATGGCCATGTTTCTTCGTCACTCACTGTTATAACACAAGACAAGTCACATTTGCCTCACCTTAGTTACAAGAAAATAAATTTCTCGTGTCATGACAGAGGGTGTTTATTCCGTCAACAGTATTCCGGGAAGCGAAATGAAAATCGTTGCTGTGAGTCGACGTTCCTGGATAGTTTACAGCTTTAAAGTACACCAAGGAAGGGAAAAGCCACCCCTCAAAAAAATAACTTACGTTTTCTTTGGGGGTTGCTTTTATGCCTCGCCTGTCTGAGTAAGCTTTGTTCCGAAAATGGGGTTTTAGCTTACGGCTTTTGTGGCGCCCTAATAGCCTTCTTTTCACTATAAAAGTGAATCCACTGGTAATGCTATCATCATGTAATATCACAATTTATTCCCCTTTGTACCCGGAGCACTGTATAACGCCGAGAGAATTAGGGGGTTGACTCCCTGTACTTGCTCATCCTAGATAAAAGAGATCCTTTGAGGTGTAGCGACGTATACAGCTCACGTATACTGTGTAGTGTTGCTCAAGAGGAATATTTCCATCTCTCAAGAGGAAATAATTTTTCATTCTTAGAAGATGAGTAAAATTCTTCATATTTTAGTACGTAAAAGTACAGACGAGGAAATATTTCACCGCTTGAGACTTGAATAAGCAAAATTTACATAGTTACCAACACGAGCCGCAGTAAACAAGGAAGTGTCGTGACGTCAAAACGGCAGAATCAGTACAATGACCGAATTTCTTCTGTTTAAAAAGTCTTGGAGTCCGATTATCTTTTTAATTGGTTCTACATTAATTACTCGCTAGTTATGATACCCGATCACTTCCAGCACCCACGTCATCACCGTATCAGACATCCTGGTTAGTTACAAAACTTTAATATTAACCAGAAATTAAGAATGTGCGTCTCAGGTTTCCGGGAGAGAAAACGTAACTAATGTAACCGAGTCTTGTCTACCCTCTACCTTCAGTCTCTGTCGGCCTCATGCTGGTGGGGGTGGAGGGGGAGGTGTAGGTGAGTCAAGCTGTCCTTTAAGTCAACATGTTCTTTAAGTCAAGTTGTCCTCTTTGGTCAAGTTGTCCTCTAAGTCAAGTTGTCCTCTTTGGTCAAGTTGTCCTCTAAGTCAAGTTGTCCTCTTTGGTCAAGTTGTCCTGTAGGTCAAGTTGTCCTCAGTCTCCAGCACCCTGTATTTTTGTCAGTCATATTTTTCTCCTTTCTTCTTTGTGTATAAAAGACCTCTGAGTCCATCACTGTTTGTCGTCTCTTATTGGTTGAGATATACACTGTGAGGGAGTGTGGGAGACAACAGCCATTTCTTGGTATTCGAGTGTCTCGGTGTTTGCTTTCTATTATGGTTCGAAGAGACTGAGAAAGAGAAAGAGGAATAGAGAGAGAGAAAAAGAAAGATAAAAGCCATTCTTCGGGATTTGAATCTTTGTATCTGTATTATACGAATAAAGCAAGGAGAGAAAGCAAGTAATATATATATATATATATAGTATAATAGTAAACAATCCGAGTTATTGTGGACAATCTTTCTCACACGACCACAACACACTATACACCTGTCAATAAGTCTTGTTACATGTATTATGAACACATAAAAGAACTGACACCAACACTGTCAGTCTTTTTATAAAGCAGAAGAAAGGGCACAATAACACGGCACACCCTCCCTCTTTATGAAGAGTAATGGGAAGGAAGACACATACACGGTGTGTCTGTACCTAGCGAGGGGTCGTCCTTGAGTCATGATAGCAAGAATGGGAAAATGTAAAATTATGCCGACAAGATATAGCGGAGGGTTCAGCGTGTCTCTATAGTTAACAATGGAATGAGGAAATGAATGGCAGCAAATCCACTCCTTCTTGGAGAGGAACTACTGGAAAAAGTATGGCTCATTGTTGTGGAGAAAAGAACACAACAACACATTTGGTTATGAATGGATGAAGGCAACTAGCGGGGAGGGCATTCCTGCCGTGACGACACCAATAAAGGGAAACATAGCAGCGCCTGCCAGGAGAACCTCGCCCCTGGTGAAGCTGCTGCTGTTCTAACTACTGATGTTTCTTCTGCTGTGCTGTCGTCGCTTTAAGGGGTTAACAAGTGTCATCGGTGGTGGGGTCTTATGTGTGGTGTGGTGGCCCTTAGTGGGCTGCAGTGTTCTTGGTAGTGATAAACAGTGCACAGGTGTTGGTGTGGACACTCAGGTGCTCATGTTATTGTTGTTTTGACGTTAGTGTTCTTGCCATTCAGGATACAAGTAGTATTGCTTTGCATATATATATATATATATATATATATATATATATATATATATATATATATATATATATATATATATATATATATATATATATATATATATATATATATGTTGAATGCTAATAAATACTTTGTTATCTATCGTTGGTGTTCCTAACGACGCCATTGCAACTAAAGTCAAGACACAGATGTTCCTGATGGTGCTATTGATAACACTGTTCGTGGTGCCGGTGTTGTTGACGTACGTGTGTGTGTGTGTGTGTGGGAGGGAGGACGAAGGCACGAGACAAACAGACACAAGAAACAACAAAAACAAAATCATTTATGTGCGGAAGTGATGTAGTTACAACATAAGGCTCTGGAGAGTATGGTAGTACAGTACTGACATCATTTTCAGAATGTAAAATACTCGATCGACATCAACGTCAACACCAGGAAGACTCACATAATTCTGAAAATGTGCGAATGAAGTCTTTCCAACCTCGTGTTGTGTTATCTTGTCTCCCTCCAGGGAAAGACTTTGTTTTTTACCTACCCCTCACTCTCGTAATTTTATCTTCTCTCTCTCTCTCTCTCTCTCTCTCTCTCTCTCTCTCTCTATATATATATATATATATATATATATATATATATATATATATATATATATATATATATATATATATATATATATATATATGTGTGTGTGTGTGTGTGTGTGTTATATTTCACTTACTGCAGCCTTTCGTCCGTCTTCTCTTTATTCCTTAAACGTATATCACACACACACACACACACACACACACACACACACACCATCGTACTCGTAGGTTCAGGTCCTCTCGAGGAGGCTGCAACGACCCGATAGCGGGATCCAGTTGGCATTTTGGCACCCCGGCTCCTCGGCCAACAATATCTGGCCGAAAGGAAAGAATTTGGAGGACATAACACAATATCTTATTCCTAGACTCCAGACAATAAGGGTCACGTGTTTTGCCTGTGAGCGACGTGGGGAATATGTTGCCGAGTATCACACCTTCAGAATTGTATATGTGATCTTCCTTATTGTGAGTTCTCGTCTTCCCTCTGCTTCCGTGTGTGTGTGTGTGTGTGTGTGTGTGTGTGTGTGTGTGTGTGTGTGTGTGTGTGTGTGTGTGTGTTCTTTACGGCAACAGTGCAAGGAGTCAGTGGGTCCATTTTGCTAACACCCGCACTACCTGTACATTAGGTCACAACACAGATACCTCATCATCGTCAACAAGAATTAGCAGAATATGAGCTGGCAGTTTATATTTTGTGTTCTCTCTGTCAGGTCTTAAGACTTTCTGAATGAGTCGTAGTTGGTCAGCAGGTTAATGATCATGATATAACACTAGTCAATGAAGGTTCTTTAATCCATAGCTGAAATGAAAACTGAAGTAAAGTTCAGTAAAAATTAGTAATACTCGTCATTATTGTTATTGTTTGATGGTAGTATATATTGATAAACCAATTCAGGAATAGTTGTGTTAGCACGAGGATGGTCAGACGTCCAGCAACACCAACAATTTTTCTTCGTGAGTCAGACAGTCGGTAATTTACGCGGGCTTCTGTGAGCTACATAACTCAGTCACAAAGATTAATACTGAATATGTCGATACATTATATGGAGGTTCCCGATAAACATTTTCGTGTGTACATGTGAGATGGTGATCCATGTTAATCCCATTTTGCCTGTCATATTTAACACAGCAGCACTGCACAAAATTATACCTAAAATTCCTTCACCAGGTAGATGGTTTGTGCTGTCAGTACGCGCGTGTCATCAACTAGGACCTAAATTTTAGGTGAACTACTATCCTAAATTTCATACATGAGTTACGTTGCAAATCAAAAATTTTCAACGTGTATTTTTTTATGCTGTGTACTCAATGCCTATACCTGACAAAAAGTTTCCTTTGTTAATCAAGGTGTGTTGCCCCACAGGTGGACCTGCAGCACCTGCACCAGCAGCGCGGCAGTAACCTGGTGGACCCGGGTATTGACCTAAACGACTACTACATCTCCGTTGAGTGGGACATCCTCAAAGTACCCGCCCTCAGGAATGAGCGCTTCTACCCGTGCTGCCAGGAGCCCTACCCGGACATCTACTTCAACATCACCATGCGGCGGAAAACGCTCTTCTACACCGTTAACCTCATCATCCCCTGCGTGGGCATCTCCTTCCTCTCAGTGTTGGTCTTCTACCTTCCATCAGACTCCGGCGAGAAGGTGTCCCTCTGTATCTCCATCCTGCTCTCCCTCACTGTGTTCTTCCTCTTGTTAGCGGAGATTATTCCGCCTACGTCCTTAGCGGTGCCGCTGTTGGGGAAGTATTTATTATTCACTATGATTCTGGTGACACTGTCCGTCATGGTGACTATAGGAGTCCTCAATGTCAATTTTCGGTCCCCGTCAACGCACAAAATGGCCCCCTGGGTGAGAAAGGTCTTCATTGAGATGTTACCTAAGTTTTTATGGGTGGAAAGGCCGAAGAAAGACGAAGAAGGTCCGGATGAAGTTACAGCCGGAGGGGACACTTCCTTCACGCCTTCGAGCGACGGGTTCGACAAGTTTCCCTTCGAGGATCATCCGTATGACATCCCAGCGATACCTCCTTCCCCGTATGACCGTGATAGATACGGGGACGACCACCTAGCCCTGCCCGCCCCCGAGTGTCACTCCCAATCCCACGCCCACGAGGTCGCCTTCGTCCCTGAACTGGAGGAGCCCCGCCCATACCACGATCACCGCACCCTCAGGAGCATCGAGTATATTGCCCAACACATGCGCAATGTCGACTCCTTTGGGGAGGTGAGTGAACCCTTCTTTTGTTTAGTCAACTTAGTTTTACGTTCTAACTAAGGATGTTCACGATTCTTGTTTCACTTTTAGACTATAGAAATACCTCAGGTCGATAGCCTTCAGTTTTTTTAAATAAAAAGTTTTATCCTTATGCAAGTACTCACATATCTACAAGTGACTGTCATTGGTCATCTGTCTTGTAGAGACCAGGAAGTAATGTAAGCTATCAACAATAAGGAAAAATTATGCTGGTAACTAAAGCCAGGTTAATGGGTTATGAAAACACCTTAAAAGAGAGAAGATGAAGGTGAGAAGTGTACTAAGACTCATTGAGGCCACATCCTGATCACACCACCTTGTGAGTAATAAAGATTAAAAGTAGAATTTTTTGACGACGTCGTCCGCCAAGAGAACAAACGATTGACAATAATATTATCACCATGACCCGGGCAGACTCCTGGTGATGGCGGCGATTGAGTCTCATGCAGTAAGTCTAATGTCAGGATCCGGGTGTGTATTTAACCCTGTCCACAATCTGGTCCCCGAAATGACTGATTCCGCGTGGCAAAATACTCAATTTGCAGCTAAATGTGTTTAATTAGAATAAATCTGATTTCTAAATTCATCAAATCCTAAATTTTTCCCTTGGGTCTACACCAGGTTTTATATAACTTATATTTGGTGGTGATTTATTTAACCGTGTCAGTATTGGCTGTTGTGCTACGATACAAATAACTGGATTGTGGAATTTTTTTTATAGTTATTAGAGGTTAATGGTGGTTAAGGAGGTGAGCAGGTTACTGGTGCGTTGAGGTGGGAAAAGGGGTTGTAGGAAAAGGAGTGGATGGAGTGAGTAGAGTGTAGAGATACGGGAAGGGATGGATGCAGTTGAGGGAGACATGAGTACAGGTGGAGGTAAGAGCCGTGCAGGTACGGAAGAGGTAGATGGAAGAGAAAGCCAAAATGAGTGTTCTTTGGGAATCATCACTCATCATCCTAGTTTACTACTGTTGCTGGAACCACCACACGCCGTCCTGGGTCACTTGCTATATTGAGCTACGAGTTCCAACGATTCCATCAACACCTTGTGACCCAATGTAGGACTGTTGACACAAATTGAGTCATAATTAGAGATTCAGTGTTTTGGATCAATAGTTAAGATATTATTCTGGTTGTGTTAATAAACCAATACGAAATTTCCTGAGCGATACACTTTTTTTTTTCCAAGTGAGGGAATTCTCTTCAGATAGTCTCATTATACACAGTCAGTGCCGTATTAACGAAACTTTAAATAATGTTACATCATACTTCTTTTTGTGCGTTTTTGGACCAATGAAAGATCATAAATAACAGTTGAATTTTATTAACTCGTTTCATTTTGTCAGGATATGTCGCCAACAGCTGGTGTTTACCAACGCGTTCGTTTTACCAATGAATTTTAGCAACATTGTCAGTATATACGGAACAGAATTCAAACCAGCAAGAAATTCAACCTATTAATATGGATGATCTATCAGCGTTTGTTGATCACACACACACACACACACACACACACACACACACACACACACACACACACACACACACAAAAGGTCTGTGTAATCTTCCCTGGACTAACAACAAAACAATAATTAGGAGACCCTACACAAAATTTTCCTCAATTAGAGAGTCAGCCAGACTACTTTATAATAAACATTGGTCATTACCAGACAAACACACCCAAGCAAATTATCCTCCACTCCTAACTGGTTAATTGTGTTTCCTTGAGAAGAACCGGGGCCAGTGATTAGGGGTTAATTGAAATAATGGAATTAAAAAAAATTTGATTAGGAAAGGAAAGGAAAATGAGAAAGATGATTAGAAGACATCAGTATAGATTGGACGACGCCTTGATGATGATTATGCTGGAGAAAAGGATTTGGTTTTTAATATCGTTTTATGGGGGTTTTTTTGGGGGAATGTAAATACGATAAAGTAAATACGAAAACTCAGATTTTGTTGTAGGTATAGAAACTTTTAATTGTGTGTGTGTGTGTGTGTGTGTGTGTGTGTGTGTGTGTGTGTGTGTGTGATAAGAAGTTTACTCCCCAGTTAAAAAAATCCCAAATTTTATAAAAAACAGAAATAAAACACCGGCTTATAATAAAACCCCACAAATACCGAAACAAAATCCCCCAAAAAAAAATTCTCAGACATAAAAAAAAAAAAAAAAAAAAAAACAATTTCCTCTATTTTTCCTAGGGTCACTTAATCTAATTTTGTAGAGAGAAAAAAATTTGTTTGTCTTATCTCGGTGCCCAGCATGGTCTTAGTGGTGCGTAGTGAGGCCATAGGCAGGCCACAACCTTCAAGTCTAAACAACACAGTAAGTCCAACTAGGTGGGATGAAGGAATGATATGCAGTCAGAAGTAATTTGTTTTTTCTTTTGAAGGAGACGAGAAAGAATTTGGAATGAGTATATACAGGTAAAAGGAGGAAGGAATATGAAATGAAAACATGACTTGAGAGAATGGATTATGGAATGGGGATACAGTACTTCTAATTATACGGAATATGGACTAATATGGGTAAATGTATAGACGGACTTCGATTTTCTTTTTCTTTTTTTTTTTTTGGGGGGGGGGTGGCTGGGGGGTGGCTGGGGGTTGGCTGGGGGGTGGCTGGGTGGGCGACGGATAGTTTCTGCAGTGGAATATGGAATGGAAGTTGTCTCTCAGTGGAATAGGAGGCATATTGTAGGAAAGACAGGACATGGGAAGGGAAAGTTACTTTATGAGAAAAATACTTTATCTCTCTCTTTCTCTCTATCAAGTTAGCTGTTTGTATGTCTCTCTATGTCTCTCTATGTCTCTCTCTCTCTCTCTCTCTATTCATTCTTTTTCCTCTCTCAATTATGTCTCTCTCTCCAACTCACTCTTCGTCTCTTTTCTCCTTCTTTCTCTCCTTACCCCTTCCTTCCTTCCATTCCTCTCTCTCTCTCTCTCTCTCTCTCTCTCTCTCTCTCTCTCTCTCACCCCCCACACGTTAGCACTGACACCCTCAAATTAACAAAACCCCGAGTCATATAAATCCCACGTCAACCCTCACGGCAAATTTACGTTGTGGAGTTGATGAGTCCAGATCCTTCCCTCCCTCCCTCCTCTACCCTGCCCCCTCCCGGATTAGCCTCAAAGAGAGAGAAAGAGAGAGAGAGAGAGAGAGAGAGAAAAATGGAGGGAAAATTGCCCTATGCCTCACCACAAGCTGTCGCGGGTAACAGTAGGGTACTTCGTCTTCCCTTCAAGTGGAGTGTGTGGGCGGAGTGTGGACAGGGAGTGGGCGGGATGTTGGCGAGGAGTGAGCGGGAGTGGGCGGGGTGTGGGAAGGTTTTGGATGGGGACTAGGAGGGGTGTGGGAGGTAAGTGAGTTGGGTGTGGGCGGTGAGTGGGAAGGGTGTGGGCGGAGAATGGCAGGGAGTGGGCCGGGTGTGGGCTGAGTGTTGGCGGGAAGTGGGCAGGGTGTGGGCTGGGAGTGAGCAGGGTATGGGCAGGGTGATAGCAGGGAGTGAGCGTGGAATGTAGATGAACTTTAGAAATAAAAATTGTCGGTGGTGTGTGGACGGAATATGGATGTGAGGATCAAGGAATAATTTATATCTCATGTAGGATGGATTTCAGTAATAACGCGGAAAATGGATGAAATATACCCGGGGTTATAGGCAGTTATGTCACTTCTCCATCCATCTCTATATTCAACAGAAAACAACTCTCTCAACCGACCGCACTCATATACAACTTCCATCGATGAACCAAATAGACCATTATAACGTATCTAACTATGAGACGTAAGACACGAACGCACAAATGAATCAAATATGAAAGGCTGAAGACATATTGTAGGAGCCAGTTGATAATATAGACGATAGACGAGGCAGTGCAACACGATCTATGGGGGAGGAGGGGCGACAGAGGTGACAGTGTTCGAGGAAGGATGAGTTAGGGAGATTATAAAGGGCTTCTGTTGGATCGATTTGGTGAGGTTAAAGGCCAGGGAAGGGAGGCTAGGGTGTTGGTTAGGATCTTTTGGGGGAGTTGATAACCAAGAAACACCACTTATTTGGTTAGGATGATGACCAGGAAGAGTGACGTGTTTGGTTGGATTGGGTGACCGGGAAAAGTCAAGCACTAAGTCTGGGTTTAAAATAATGTGTCAGGATGTGGAGGTGTAGAACACTGACCTCCGGAGATAATCTAAAACTGAAATACTCTCATTTATTCTCCGCCTACACATATATTTTAATGAGGAGAATATTAAGAGTAACTAAATCTCATCTATGTTCTTCCTCATCGCGAGTCTTAAACAAATTGTGTTTATTTCGTGCTATAGGATCACCTGACTCGGTATATTTTAATTACCTGTTTGCCTTCATTATAATTCCAGGTATCATTAACCTCTTATAGTCCTCGTACACTTGGGATCACTGTCAGAGCCTCGTTGTGATTTTCATCCAACCTTTAATATATTTTTCTATACCACAACTTTATACAGACTCCTATCTTTCTCAAACATATCTTAATAGTTGTTGTTTATTTTTGTGATCATATTCCAGAACTGTGTCACTCCCGACGCCCCACAGTAACCCTCCAACCTAAACATTCATGAGGTTTGTTTATCCAGGCCGCTGCAACGTGCTTTATCTTCCATCTGTGTGATACGTCTCTTGGTTTCCAGATCGAGGATGATTGGCGGTACGTGGCGATGGTGCTAGACCGTCTCTTCCTGTGGATCTTTATGGTGGCTTGTGTCCTCGGAACCTGTGGGATCATCTTCAGGGCGCCGTCCCTATACGACACAACTCTCCCCATTGACATTCAGCTGTCCAAGGTCGCGCAACGCCGCCGTCTAGATCTTATGGGACCCGAAGAATAATGGCACCTAGTTCTAGACGACATAAAGGTGTTTCTTATGAAGTGTGTGGCACGTGTACAGACGCTGAGGGTAATGTGATAATGGATATTGATGATCATATGAGGTCACGCTTTGTTGATGACTGGAAAATCGGACAGGGAATATGCAGCGCTGGAACACGAATGAGGGTAGGGGGTAGGATGGACTGTTGTAGCAGGTGCCGTGAGTCAATAAGTACAACATACTCCTGAACACTGTTCCCGCCAGTTTCATATAATGGAATGACGAACTGGAGCTCAGTGACTGTTTTTAAACTGGTGAAGTCTTTGTTAGTAAGTGATGACCTAAAATCCTCATGTGAATGATATTATTCACTATCAGCCATGAAACAAGACTGGTGTCTCTCTGTGTAAGGTCATTTTATATAAGTGAGTGAAGGAACAAACGTGATGAGTGTGATGTCAGAGAGAGAGAACTGTACAACAAACTCACACCGGAAGACGCAGTCACCAGGACACTGTTGTCTGGCACTGCGCAGTGTATATGTGTTGTTTATAATCAAAAATGCTCAAAATTATTGAAAGAACAGTTTTAGCAGCTAGTTTTGATTTCATCATTTATTTTTGTAATTACTTCCACCACTCTACCTCTTTTCCTTCCCCTGTTTTTTCTCACATATATTAGTTCAGCTGTAACTCTGAGGTCCTCTTGGAGCATGGCGAGCCGATGGTGCTCTTGTTCTTAAGGCTACGACTCTTGATTCATTCAGGATAAAATTTAACATCAAGAAAATTATAAAACATTTCATAAGGTCTAATTAGGGTTGATATTACGTGATACGGTCGACTCATAGTTCCTCGTATAACTCTCCCATCCATCGGTCGTCATGTTATCTCCCTCCTCCTCCACTCTCCCCTTCTACCTAAATATAATAACTACTCTACTGTCATAATATAGTCCAACGTGCGCAATGGTTTAGATGGAACAGAAAAATAAAAACAATTTTTTTCGTCCTCGAGAATTTTTTCAGTAGTCGCCGTTACTTGCCTGACTCCTTGCTTGTTTACCTCCTAAGTGTTGCGCAAAGTATGATGAATCCAACAGGTGCACGCGAACGCTTCACACCTCCACACGAACGCTAACTTGAAGACGTATTTATTACCTTTCCCTCAATACTGTCGCTCTGGGTGTTGACATGACAAGAGAGAGTGAGAGAGAAAGAGTGAAAGAAGGCTTACCTGTTGTATGAATGAAGTGAAACTATTTTCTTTAGTCTTAAATTTATCTTTTTATACGAGAGTCAGGATTTTAACCATATGTTACCTCCCGTATGACGTAACCAAAACTAGATTCGCTAATCCTTAATATGACGTCAATATCACGCTTATAAAACATAGTTAATCCTCTGCGTGGCACAAAAAAATAGCTTTTACCTTTAACGAGGCCAAATGAGAAAGGTTAAAGACACTTAATGACCCCAAGAGAAATTAATGGACTTATCCTTATAATACCTCCATTACAACTGTCCTAATTATTTTTCTCAAAGTCATAAAGGATATTTTAATCATTTTATGGCCACAAGGGAGGAATTCACTCCCCTTGAGGACGTCAGTATGGTTAACTAATCACTTTGATGACGTCAGTAGGGTTAATTAATCCTTTTCATGACGTCATGAGGGTGTTATTCCCTTGGTGACATCTTTAATCAATACGACCATAATCCTTGTGTAATGCTAGGACATTTAGTCACCAACTTCAGAACTAAAAACCTAAAATAAACAAAAAGTCCATTATGACGTCATGAACGATGGGTCATTCTCTTTGCATTACATCAGGTTAGGTTAGGTTAGGATAGGTTAGGTTAGGTTAGGTTAGGTTAGGTTAGGTTAGGTTAGGTTAGGTTAGGTTAGGTTAGGTTAGGTTTGGTTAGGTTAGGTTAGGTTAGGTTAGGCTATGTTAGGCTAGGTTAGGTTATGTTAGGTACAGTATGTGAACGTGTCGGGAATAAACCGAAGGCCCTACATAACACCACTAAGGATAAGCCAGGCTGTATGTGTGGTCATGAGGCAGGTGTCATGTCATGTCATCTTTACTCTCTCACAAGTGTCATGATGAATAAAACTCACAGCTAACGTTACAATTCGTGAGGTTAAAGCTGATATCAATTTAATTCTGTAAAAGTATGTATATCTGACAAATTTAAGAATGAATCGTGTGTCTGTCTGTCTGTCTGTCTGTCTGTCTGTCTGTCTGTCTGTCTGTCTTTCCGTCTGTTTGTCTGCCTGCCTCAAACTAACATTAACTACAGTTTGTATAATCAGTGGTTTATGATGAGCAATATAAAGTTACCAGTGTTACAGTTTTGTTGTGTAAATGTTAGTTACTGAAGGATGTATAGGAGAGTTAGTAGGAAATAAACGTTGATATCAAGAGTCCACACACAAAGTTCCTGGATGTCTGCCTAATGTTTCCCGTCACAGAGTTGGATGAATGAAAGCTTTACCAAAATGATATCAGAGAGTGGCATTGTGTGTATACCTCAATATATTTTCATTTTCAGGGGGGAAGGGATTTATTTCGTTTGTTTATAGATATTGACAACAAATAATAGTTATAAAATGTGGATGCGAGTGTGTGTGTTTTGGGTGTAATGATTACAACAAAACCTAAATGCATTGAGAGGGGGACACAGAGGTAATGGGGGTCAACACCCCCCCCCCCCCTCTTAGGGAGCACTGCCCTCCTAGTTGTAAATACTCCAGTGTACGTTTTTGCTCACTCACACAAGGTTGTCATGTATATGTTTGTAAAAAATATAGATATATATTATAAAGTTAAAAGTGTTATTTATAGTTTCAGTGTTTGTAAATATATATTAATAACTTGTGAAAATATTCTCTGAGTCTTCAGTCACTTAGGAAATACCTCTTCTACTTTATAATGCTATTATGTCTATATGTTCATGATCTATATATATATATATATATATATATATATATATATATATATATATATATATATATATATATATATATATATATATATATATATATATATATATATATATATATATATATGTATATATATATATATGTATTTCATGAGGATTTGCAGAAAATTTTATTAATTGCTAATGTGTGCTTGAAACTGTTTTTGTATGTAAATCTGCCACATAGAGAGCAAGCATCACGTAGCACGAGACTAGCCGAGGACAGCAGGTCCAAAATATAGAGTTGGTACAAAAAGTGTTCCTCACATCTTCACTCAGAGGACCGTAGAGCTCCTCGTCAGCTAACAGGTGAGACGCCTCCAGCCCTCCACCACCTCACTCCCCGCTCACATCATCTGCTCTTAGAGTTGGGTTGGCCTCCGCTATCGTACCCTTCCTCACTGGGAGAGTTGTCTTTAGTCATATTTAGACTTTTCTCTCGTCCTCAGGGTCACATAATCGCTGGTTAGATCACCAAATTCATAATACGTTATCAGTGTAGGTCCTGGCATAGGGAGGCGTTGTCAGGCAGAATGATGCTATTCAAGTCGAGGATCTTTGCTTATCCCACATTCTCCTCCTCCTAAGGACACTGACGCCTATTAAGAATTCGGTAACCTAACAAACAAACTGATGTTGAGTAGATCTAACGGCAGTTAGGCAGCTTGCATTTTCAAAATAGCCAACTAGTCTCATGAATCTGAAGTTAGCTAGTGATTCCTTAGAACTCAGCTTAGCCAACCAGCTTGTAGATCTTAGATTATAAAAGCAGAACCCTCCTGCTCCCTACTGCAACAACACCTGTCTTTCCTGCGGCCTCCCGTTAGCTAGAGATCAACACGTGTGTTCCTACCTGGCTTGCTCCGACTTCTCTAAGTGGCTGGAGACTCGGTACCCTCGGTGTTTTATACTGCAAGTTTTATACACAACGAAACATCACGAGACGGAAGAACTATTTCCCTCTGTGTCTCTTGAAACTATATAGACATATATATATATATATATATAAAGACAAAATATATAGAAGGCCTCAACATTCTTAAGTTTGGGAATACAGCTCAATCAGTATGTTATTTTTGTTGCTAATCTGGATTTATGTAAATTCAGATTTCTGTTGTCACTTCTCAAGTTTATTGATTGCCACAAATGGACACGTCACAGAATCTGTTAATTCTTTGCAACAAAAAATAATAATAATAATTCACAAACTGTATCCTTCAACATCTTTGTTTACGACAAACAAGAACTTTACAATAAAAGTGTAAAACTCCCGGCAGTGTATTCTAGTCTTCCAAAGTGTCTGAGATGTCCATGGAAAATAAACCTTAAAGAAAAGAAATAAACACAAACTTCTCGCCAAAAATGATGTCAATGTTGTGGGTTTGCCGCCGCCGTTCTTCTTAAGCAGTGTGTATAATGCATCAGGTGTGGCGCTGTTGTCGCTCAGCCTCCACACACACTTATCCTTTCTCCCTCCTCAACCTTATCTTCTAAATAATTAAACTCTCTCTCTGCATTATAAAACGAATATAATTCCTCTTAAATCATTCTCCCTATTCATAATTAAACTGATATATTTCATTCTTAATCAATCTCACTTTCTATGATAATCCATGTTGGCAATGGCTTTTATTTTCATGACAATCTTAATTCATATTATTAATCATTATCACAATTATAATCCTAAACTATAATATGTTATTTGTGAGACAACGAGAGACATGATATGCAAGGATCTGTCTCTCGGAAACTCACTTCTAATACTAAGAAATGAGGGAACACAGAAAGCTTAAAATTTAACTAATAAAATAGATTGGGAGTAATTCTTTCTCACTGTAATGTGTCATTCATTAGTGTTTTCATGACATCTTGTGTTCAGAATTAACAGTGATTTTTAAGATATATTACATTAGAAAATCTTTGTGTTCGAGACTCACCATGCTTACTGTTCACTGTTCTCATGAGACACTGTTCACAACACATTTTGTTCGTAAAACCAATGTCCTCAAGCCACGCACTGAGTCCATGACATTATGATCATGAAACATTAAGTACATGACATTTTGGTTTGTGTTCATGACCTTATGTGTCATTCATGGCTCAGTACTCTCCTGATCTAACTGTGTTCATGACTCATTGCCCATTATATCAGGCGTACTCATGGCTCATTGTACTCATAAGCTATGGAGTCCGTAATGTGTTCTTTTGTTGAATCATGTAAGTGTATGTGAAGGCGGAGGCGTCGCTATGTTGTGCTCGTGTTTTTGCTGGTTTCTTCTCTCAGCTGTGTATGTTGTCACGCTTGCTGCACCTTCCTTACACGTTTGTCTTTTTGCCTCATTCTCATTCTCTCTATCTCCCTCCCCTCCTTTTCCTCCTTCTCTTTCACATCGTCCTCCTCTTTATCCTATTCCTCTTTTCCTTCTTCCCTCCCTCCCTCTCCTCCTCTTCATCCTTTCCTTCTTCACCTTTCGCCTCCTCCTCTACTCGTGTCCATCTGTATGAAACAGGTTCTGGACAATTAAAAAAAAACATCCCTCTCCCCTATCCTGTCCGTATGCGTTTAGTGATGTACTCATGATTGATAAAACGCTTTCCCCTTATA